CATTAATAGCGGTATGAAAAATTCCCAGCAGAGACATGGTGGGATTGTCGATGCCAATGACTCAGAACTGCAGGAAGAGGGAGTTAAAAGGCCTGGACTCTGCACAGATTCTGTTTCGCCTCGCCGGCAGAGAGGCGTGGCGCACCGACTCACTGTTTTTGCTTTGTAATCACTGGAATCTTTATATTGCAGTAATTGCAGCCTTTCACCTGCCTCACGGGCTCGTTAGACGATAACGATCCGCTTTTATAAATTAGACGTTCATGCTCCGTGCCTTTATACCTGCAGAGTATTAGAAACGGCAGAGATTTGGAAATTTGCTGAAAAGCTATAAACATTCTCAACACACTTATGCAATCATTTTTTTTTACTGGATGATCTTTATTTGTTTTAATAACCCGAGCATTTTATTTTATTTTATTTTTACGGTTCAGCTAAATTTTCCCCAGTTCTGTTTGTATGGAGTATAAATCATCCCAGTGTAACAGAGAGTAAAATGGTTTTTGAATGCAGATCTGGTCTTTTAAGTGATATTTTAAAACTGTTTGACAGTTTTCGGTTTATTCGAAAAATTTAAAACCTAGCAATCCTTAAAGGAGTGGATACCGTATTTTCTGGCATATAAGTTGCTCTAGAGTATAAGTCGCATCAGTGAATAAAAGCATCATGAAGACGAATAAAACATAAGTTGATTCTGCGCATAAGTCGCATTTATTATGAGTTTATTTAATGATTAAAACAGCTTAATTTTGCCTGGGTGGTGCAGCACCATCCATCCATCGCGGCCGGATCCGCTAGCTCTTCACCGTTCCTCCGCCTGCACCAGCTGAGTGAAGCGAGCGCCCACGGGAGAACTCGCTGTTGCATTTCTTCTAAATTTAAAACGTCGGTCAAAAATCGTGTTACGAATATGGGGGAAAAAAGTTTGTCGCTTTGGCGTATAAGTCGCAGGACTGACAAATCTATGCAAAAAAAATGTGACTTATACGCTAGAAAATACGGTATCTGTTCTGTTTCATGTCAGAATTTTGATTTAAATCATCTTATGTGGAAAAATAAACAAGTTAAAACTGAACGTCACCGCATGAGATGCTCACTCTCAAAGTGTGTGAAGAAGACAACTCACAGCTACGACCACTTCAAACTTTAGCTCAGTACAGTAGTCCCTCATTTATTGTGAAGGTTATGTTTCAGACCCCCCGCAATAAGTGAAAATCCACAAGGTAGCAACGTTATTTATTTTATTATGTATATATTTTAAGGCTTTAGAAACTTTTCCTACACTCTTTCAATATTCTAAACTCTTAAACCTGCATCATTTTAACAACATACGGATATGTAGCTACTAAATTTTACTCACCAGCTAGGCAGAACAGCAGCAGACCTACTCTGCAGAACGAAGCCCACAATCAATGCTCTAAACTCTTAAACCTACTAATTTTAACAACATACTTGTATGCAGCTTCTAAATTTTACTTACCAGTGCATCCCCCCTCGAAGTTCCTCATGGGCTGGTTGAAAGAGATGGAAAAAGTCCAATGGGCTCAGCATGGAGCGTCAGACCTTTGGCGCCGCGCGTCCCGCTCGGAAGTCCTTGTGGGCCAACTACCAGCTCTCAAGGTTCACTGATGGATCTGGAGGTCTGGTTCTACTCCAGTTTTGGTCCAGTTCTGTGGGTTCTGTGCAGCTCTCTGCATCCGCTGGACGCCAAAGTCTCTGTAATAAACGCCAAACTTTATCAGATCAAATCAAAACTTTCCCTCTTCGTATTTCAGCAGAAGGAAACGGGGCTTCTGGGCGGGGCCCTATTGGCTTCTGGGAAATGTAGTCGTTATGAGTGGGGATACAGTATAGGCTTAATGAGCGAAAACTACAAAATGGTAGCGCCTGTCCGAAGTATTATTTTTTCATTAACTTTTTACTGTACAGTATCCAATACTGTCCCAATCATGTGAGTAATATTAAAGTTGACAATCATGTATCCTGTACAATTTTTTCTTTCTCGTTTTCAATCTTACTTTGAAAAACCGCGATAGAGCGAGTCCACGAAAGTCGAACCGTGAAGTAGCGAGGGACTACTGTATTTGTAAAACGATGGAGTTAAAGACATTTCTGTAGCTGTGGTGGCCATCTTGAACTGAGTTTTAGATTGTAGATGTAAAGTCAAAGTCTACTTTATTGTCAATTCCATCATACGTACAGACATACAAAGAATCAAAATTATGTTTCTCGCCGTCCCTCGGTGAAACTAATGGCTTATAAACATCACATCACAATAATTAAGAACAAATGGTAATAAAAAGTTTTTCCATAATCCATAAAAAAACAATAATGTTAAAAATCCCATATACATACATTATACTATCATATAAACACTTATATAGTTAACCGCTTAGATCAGACCTTAGAAAATATAATGTGCTGGATGATGCTCAATAGTTCCACAATAAAAAGTTCTCAAAATGAATGTGGATGCCCCCGCACATCTAAATTAACAGGGTAAAAAGCAGTGGACTGAGTACGCAGCCCTGGGGGGCCCCAGTATTCAATATCATCCTGCTTGAGATTTTATTTCCTACTCATACTACTTGTGACCTCTGGCTGAGAAAATCCAAAAGCCAGTTGCAAAGAGATGCACTGATCCCCAACTTATCTAATTTTTGAATTAGTTGTTGTGGTATTATAGTAGTAAATGCAGCAGTGAAATCAATGAACCGCATCCTCACATTTGAATCTTTTTTTTTTTTTTATCCAGGTGAGTTAGAGCAAAATAAAGAACTAAACAAATTGCATCCTCAGTTGATCATTTAGCTCTATATGCAAACTGGAAAAAGTACATTCAATGGTAACTTTCTAAGAGTTTTGTTGAAATTCTTCCAGTGATTCATGAGATATTTTGCTAACGGTGCGGACAAATGACACGCATGCAAAAGCAGGATCACTCCAGCATTTATTCTGACCGCAGGGGATGATGTAGTTAAAGTTGTTTAAAGCTGCAGTGAACAAAGTGTTGTGTTATATCTCTTGTATTTTGTTACTGAAGCAGAGAGAACGTGATTCTCCGTTGCCATGCCGATCTATCTTTGGTTTCAGGTACTAAGTGATGGTTGGTCAATATTTATAGACTCATACAGGCGGTTCGTCTGTGCACGTTGGTTTAATTACACCTCCTTTTTTCCCTTCAACTTTCCAGCCATTCAAAAACGCTCTCTACCTTCAGTTTAGTCTTTTCATTAAAAACCCGATGCTTGCTGCTCCGCTCCTCGGTGTTCACGTGATGTCAGATTCTGTGTTTTTCACGTCGAAGCCTCTGAACCACACTTGGCATTTTGCCTCCATCTGGATGCAGCTCTGTGCAAAGAGCTTCTTTTGTTAAGGCCGGAGAAAATTGGCGCAACACTGCGAGCATTGTCCCGCCAACACTTGGCCCCGCAGCTTTCCCAGCTGTGGCGGCAGAGTGGCAGCTTGGGACTTGGCATGTTCAGATGTGAGAAAACAGGAAAAACAAACTAAGACACTTGGAAATGTATAGTCTGCCTTAAAGGGACAGTTCACATGTTTTGAAGCAGGGTTTTATAAAAAGGTTATGAACAGTTAAAATATTTGCTGACATCAGAAAAGGATTTATAAAACGGTTTGCTCTAAATATGAAGCTTTTGAGATTCCGATCTGCGTTGGTCTTGGCTCTGCTCAGATTATCGTACTTGCCGCCATACACGTCGCACCGCCGTATAAGTTGCATCAATCCAAATATGTCTCATAAAGTGGGAAAAAAACATAAATATGTCACTTCGCTATATAAGTCACATCTATTATGCGTCACCGCTGACCACCCGGAAATGTGTGCCGGTGTTGTGCCACAAATCGATTGGCTGCCAAATGGCGGCCGCAGGAGCATGCACGGGGCGACTTTAACAAGGAATTAACAAGATTAACTCTTAAAACAATTGTTTGCTCAAAATTATAGCAAAGGTGTGTCTCAGTTTAACTTTTCCATAATAAATGCACTTTATTGCTCAAATCAGCTGCATTTCATGGTGAAATGCAGCTGATTTGACGTTTGCTCCAGGAGTTCCAGAGCGCGACGAAGGTGGCTTGGTATGGCAAGCAAAGTGTTACATTAATAACCACTTTTACCTAATAATGAGAGACGTGGCTTGCCGTATTACTCAAGGGCCCTCTAGTGGCTAAAAATGGTAGTGTTTGATATTTTCTGTGTCACAATGAATGAAATTGTCCGATCTCAGCCAAAAAATGGTTTATAAATATGGGAAAAAACAAAATATTAATCGCTTCAGTGTATAAGTCGCAGAACTTGAAAATTTATGCAAAAAGGTGCGACTTATACATCAATCAGTCAGAAATTCAACATTTAGGATTCTTTATATCAACACATACAGTATCGCCTGTCCCCTTTCATAATTGTTTTGATTCTTACATCAGTTTACTTGTTTTTTGTTTATCTGATCACAGTCAACAAAAACAAGGACAAATGTCAGAATAGACTGAGGTCTTTTTTTTTTGACCCGACTGCATGTCTGATCTGCGTCAGGAGCTGCTGAGGGCTTACCTAATGCTGACTATTTATCCCGCTTCATCCCATCAGTGCAAAGGCACTCATAACAAGCGTTAATAATTACACAATCCTCCTCATGTTTTCGTATTAGCAGCCTAAATCCTTCTCATAGAGGCTGATCGGATGATTAAATTATGTATTTTATACAAGGATTTGCAATTAAGGAAAGAGCTGTAAGGGATTCTTGCTCAAGGGATGTGCTGTTCTGATTTTTATGTACAAAGGAGGATCTGCTTCATGTGCAGGGCCTAATTAGAAATTTCAGACTGATGGTCACAGAACAGGGAAAGACTCTTTGAACGTTTGTTTTTAGATCGGTGTTGCAACCTTGAAAAGCTATAATCTACGTGACATTAATCCATTTGATCATTTCTCTCACTGTGGACGCTAAATTCCCACAAGCCTCGTTTCTTTTTCTCCTCAGGGCGAGCGCTCATGAGACTGACGGACAGAAAGCTGGAGCGAATGGGCATCATGCAGGAGGCCCAGAGGCAGCACATCCTGCAGCAGGTCCTGCAGCTTCGTGTCCGGGAGGAAGTCAGGACTCTTCAACTTCTCACACAAGGTATGTTTTTCAGCACCGCGCCTAAATGTTGCAGCAAAACTTCTCTTCACGTTACAGAAATGAGCCTCAATTTGAAAGACTCTTTTCTGCATCTCCGGCTGATTATTCACTGTAAACCTAACTTTACAAAAGAAATATACCAATCAGTCTCAGTAATTATTCACACGCCATCTGTCGTCATGGCAATCAGTGCATATTTTAAAGCCTGCAGGAAGTGATGAATCAGAAATGATTATGTAACGGAGGAGTTGTGCTGAAATATTCTCTCTGCTGTGATCTGGTAAACATGGGGCTTTTTGGTGGTAAAAAAATAAATAAAGTTATATGCTACATATTTATCTGGAAGGGAGTCACATTTAAAGACTGTATGAATGCAAGAAGCTTAAAGCTGCAGCTTTATTCTTTTCGTGTCTGTGTCGCGCAAACAGAACTACCTGAACTGAGAATAACTTGGCTGTCGAATTATTTCCCATCACACCTCGGCATGTCTGTGCAGTGGATGCACGACGTGAGTTTAGGCTGCACGTGTTGATGCTGTTGCTCCAGCGAGAGCACCGTAACGACAAATACGAGTGGAAAGCATGTTGAATGTTTCCACTCCAAAAGAAAAGAAAGATTTTTATTCTTTTTAGGAGCAAGTCTTTATGCGTGAGCTTCTGTCTGCAGGTAGAGGAGGGTAACTGGTCCAGAGTGTGTTGTAATGTATGCAAAAGTTTAAATGTGGCCTTAATAAATCATCAAGTACAGCAATGACCTTACTGACAAAATATGAAAATAAAATCTAAACATTTGCTACTATATCTGAGCAACACTTTACCGTCTGACAGCTGAACATCCGGGTTATAATTCTTGATTCGGGGCAGTCAGGTGTTCATCATTTCTTTGACTTCATTGAACTGTTGCGTCATACGGAAGTAGCAGGATGGATAGTCTCCAAACACGCAGCTTTGTTCAGTTTACACTCACGGAGCAACAGGGCTAACCCATTTTTCTTAATTAGACCTTTCAACGAGCCATTTTATCTTTTACGTGCAGCCAAACTAAAAGCTTTTCACAATAAAACGCCGAGCTGCTGCTCCTGAAACTGGAGGGAACAAAGAGAAGCGATGTTCAGAATAAATCGAGCGGCTTCAGAGGCGTTTGTGTTCTTTTCTGCTACTGCTGCTAAAATACGTTTTCTTTTTTCTGGTGCATCATTAAAGTGTTTTCAGATTTGTTGCAAAAAAAATAAGAATGAATTCACTGTATATGTATATTTAACTGGAACAAATAAAACTAGAGGAAATTGCATTTCCTGCGAAAATGCAGTGTGAATGCTTATAGCAGAAGAACTTGTAGAAAAACAGATAAAATTTAGCTACAAAATATGCTGAAATGTAGCTGAAATGGAAGAACAAGCTTTTGTTAGCAGAAGAAAGCAGAACACATATTTGCCCAATTTGCCTTAAAGAAGCAGACTGCACAAATAAGTGGAAATTATCTGAAAAAAGCTTAAATTAGCATAAAACCAGCTAAATAGTGGCTGAAATAGCAGAAAAGCTGAAACTAACAGAAAAAATATGAAAGAAGCAGAACAATCTGAAATGAGCAGAAAGAAGTTAATTAGGCTGAAAGTAGCAGAAATTATTACGAAAAACTTTAATTTCTCTGAAAACAGCTCAAATTAACAACAAAAAAAAAGCTAAAAAAAAAAAAAAAGCGTAGCTGAAAAGGTAGAAACAGCTTAAATTAGCAGAAGAAAACAGAAATAACTCGTTTGCCCAATTAGGCTGAAAGAAGCAGAAATGAGCACAAGGTGTAAATTATCTGAAAAAAGCTGAAATTGCCACAAAAAAAATTCACACATCAGAAAAGTAGCTAAAAAAGCAGAAAGAAACTTAAATTACAAGAAGGAAGTGGGGAGCACATTTTTGCTAAATTAGGCTGAAAAAAGTTTAAATGAGTGCAAACGATGTGGTATTAGTTGAAAAGCTAAAATTAGCATAAAACAGCTAAATAGTAGCTGAAATAGCAGAACAAGCTGAAACTTGCATACATAAGCTGAAAGGAGAAAAAAGAAGTACAAAATGTTTTGTAGTTAGCAGAAAGGAGCACAAAACAGCTGAAAGTAGCTGGAAAAAAGTTTAAATTTGCACAAAGAAGCTGAACCAGAACAAAACGTGAAAGGAGCAGTAAAAGGTTGTAAATGGATCTAAAGATATGAAGGATGTAAAATGAGCTCAATTCATTTTCTATTTGGAAAAAAGTGTCAGAAAAGGCTAAATATTTCAAAAAGCTAAAGCTGCACCAATACCAAAAGTCATGGCACCTTTCTGAATGAGCTGAACGTTTTGATTTATGATTTGTTGAAATGGCACAAAAACCGTGGAACGAAAAAGATGCAGAAAAACATACGGAAGAAAAATAGATCACAATAGAGTGAATGCTTCATAAACATTCACACAATGATTTCAGCAGCTAATGATTTTGACATAAACAGAATTTAAAGTGCTGTAACAGCTATCGTCAATTTTTGTTTTAGACCTGTTTGGCTCAAAATTTCCAAAACTTTCACTCAAATGTACATAAAAAGTACGACTTGGAAAAAAAAATAAACAAACCTGACCAAACGTGCATCGATTTACTCAACAAGAAATTTAAATACAGTTCAATCGGCTCAGATTGAGAACAAACAGCAGTAAAGATGACCCAACACATCACGTGCACTCACGACCTTTTTATTAGATCCACTTCTTAATTTATTCATTAACATAAATAATGTGTTTTTGGTTTACTGAGGATGTACCAGTGAGAGCTGCTGTGGTTCTGAAACAGTAGATCGATGTACCCAGAAATCAATAGTAATCTCAAGTTACTCTGGAATATTAGAGACCGATGTAAGACATTACGCAACCTTTACAGACATAAAATAAGTGCTCTGTAGAAGAAACTGAGCCTAAATCAGCAGGTGAAGTGTGGAAAGCAGTTTCTGACAGACTCCATCATTCTCTTTTTTTTTAATGAGAGTTCCGAACACATTCTTTTTTCATTTTCTTTATTTGTTTTGTTTTTTTTGTTAGATTTTGTGCCGTGTTGCATGTTTTATGATTGCAGCCAATTTGTGCTGTTTTCTCCTTCCCACCCTGCCATTCTCAGCTTCCCTCTGCCAACTACCTGCATCACCACCACTCCTCCCCCCCACCTCCATCTGCACACTCGCTCAGAAAAGAAAAAGTTGCCGCGGGGGCCAAGAAGCAAATTCTAGGGTTTAAAATTCTTGGAAAGCATTTTGGCATATTAAAGCCGGAGCTGTTTTAGGTCCCTCTGCAAGGTGAAAATAGAAGGAAGGGATGCTGGGGGAGTATTTTACTGAGTGATGGCACTTTGCTGAGGGCTTCCCTCAGCGTCCAGTGCCTTTCCTCTTTTCTCTTCATGTCTCATCTTCCCTGCTCTTCCTCTCTCTTTCTGTATTGATGATACTTGAACCGACAGCCCACCCGTCTCAGCAGGAAGCGGCCCTTTAATGGAGCCTATATCTGGGCCTTCAGGGGGAGAAATCAGAAAAGACTGAAGTTTAACAGATGGAGACGTAAAAGTGGAGACGAGATGAAAAGAGAAATCTGAAAACCTCTTTATATTTCATACATCATTCTTTTAGTGACTAATATGAATTACAGTATACCGTACTTTTCGCCATATAAATCGCACCTTTTTCTCATAAATTTGCAAGTCCTGCGACTTATACACTGAACCGACTAATATGTGTTTTTTCCCATATTTATAACCAGATTTTTAACTGAGATCCGACGATTTCTTTCATTCTGACATGGAAAATATTGAACACTACCATTTTCAGCCACTAGAGGGCGTTCGAGTAATATGGCAAGCCAAGTATCTCATTAATAGGTAGAAGTATCTATTAATGAGACACTTGGCTTGCCATACCAAGCCACCTTCGTCTCGTTCTGGAACTCCTGGAGCAAACGTTAAATCAGCTGCATTTAGCCGTGCCGCCCAGGTGAAATGCAGCTGATTTGACCAATAAAATGCATTTATTAAGGAAAAGTTCAACTGAGACACACCTTTGCTATAATTCTGAGCAAACAAATAATTGTTTTTAAGTGTTAATCTTGTTAAAGTCCTCCCGCGGCTGCCATTTTAGCAGCCAATTGGTTTTTGGCACAACACCGGCCCACGTTTCCAGGTGGTCAGCAGTGACGCATAATAGATGTGACTTATACGGTGAAGCGACTTATTTATGTTTTTTCCACTTTATTAGACATGTTTGGACTGATGCAACTTATATGGCGGCAAGTACGATAGTCTTAAAGTGTGAACAAAACAAACTAATCTCTGATGAATGTGAAGCTTTACGATGAGATACAGTTTTGTTTTGCTTTTTATCACAAGCTGTTTAATCCAAGCTAAGGTGCGCATCAGAATGATGAGAAAGTGAGAAAAGGAGTTTCCTAAAATTTTTGCTAACTGTAAAAAAAAAAAAAATGCGTTCAAGTGGAGCAGGTGGAGTGTTTCTAGACTGACTTCCTTGAGCTGTTGCTGAAAAGAAATCCAGCTGAACTCAGATGGAAGTCGAGCTGGAGTTAAAGAGGAAGTGGCAATGGGTGAGTGATGATGAGATAATGAATAAGACGAGAGGAAAACAAGTGGGAATAGTGAGATTGGTGCCAACATGGCAGGATGAGGGAAAACAGAAGCCGGGGGGGGGGGGATGTAAGAGCTTTGATGGAAACATCTCTGTTTAGAGCGATGAGGATCATCTTTGTGTCCATATTTACTGTTTCAACCATGGAAACTGAAATACTACTGAAGATCTTTTGTTTTTCTTTTACTCAAATAGTGTGGCACCTTTATGAGCTCAATAAGAGCTAAAAGATTAAATATACTAAATAAAATGTATTAAATGAAATAAAAAGTCAAATTTGTGTCCGACAGATGTGACTCTTTAAACTTCCTACATCTTAAATGGAATGGATGGAGTTTAACACATACTTATAAGTTTT